GAGAGCAGGGCTTCTCACACTTGATATGCATGTGTCCAGGCTCCTGGGGTGCAGAGTTTAGGGAAGGCCTCGGTGTAGTCATGCTTTTCTACCTGCTGGCATGCCATTCATCTTAAAGAGGATGCAGACCACATCCTGGGATCTGTGGAAATGAGTAGCTCCACAACTAATCCAGACTCCTGAGTAACAGGACATAGCCCACCAGACAACACTCAGACCCAGAATTCTACAGGTTGCTTGAGGGCCCCACTGAATGACCTGGGCACAACCCTTATTCTCCCGGAGTCTCCATTCTTTATATGAAAAACGTAAGTAATTGCAGTCCTTGAATAGGGTTATTAATGCTGGGGTCAATGATAGTAAAGACTCTTCTTGAAGTCCAGCAACATATTCTGAAGCCCTTCAAAACAGGCATTCTATTTCCCAGTGCTGTTACACCCATTACCCTCTGCTTCCCTGTTTATATGTCAGAAACAGAATACAGCTCCAGCACTTTAAAAGCACATCATGCTATTGGGGCTGGAGAGATGGCTCAGTGGTTAAGAGCACTGACTGCTCTTCGATTCTCAGCACCCACACGGCTGCTAACAACCATCTGTAACTCCAGTTCCAAGGGAATTTAATGCTCTCCTCAGACCTCCATATGCATTGCACAACACGGGTGCACTTACACGCATGCAGGCAATACACTCATACACACAAAATAAAAATAATAAATAAAATGTTTTTTTTTCTAAAGGTAACTCCAGTTCTAGGGGATCCAACGCCCTCTTCTGACCTCCATGGGCATTGCATGACACGGGTGTACTTCCATACATGCAGGCAATACACACATAACACATAAAATAAAAATAACCAATATTTTTTTAAAAAGTACATCAGTGCTACTAAGATGAGCAACATCTGTCAGATGTAGCAGCTTGTGTTTGTGTGGAGGACTGATGCCTATGTGTACATGTGTGTGTGGAGGCCAGAGGTCAACCTCAGGTGAAGATGAGAGAAATGTCACGGAAACATTAACCTGTCCTGTAGGGGAAAATTCAAATTTCAACTACCACTATTCTCAAGCACTGGGGCTGCTTTCTGAGAAGGATTAATGCTTGCTAAAAGCCCTCAGAGAGCAGGGCAAACCCAAGTATATATTTCGCTCTGAAACACTTTGGGAGGTCCAGATCTGTTCAGACACGTCAGAAGAATCTGGGATGGTAGCTGAGATCAACGTGGAAACAGAAACTAAGAGTTCTATGGAGTGAAGGCACACAATAACCCTCGATTGCTAGATCATGTAAGTGTCCTGATGTTTCTCTCTGGTGCATTTTTAAGGTAAAAACTAAATGTACCCTAGGGAGGGGACTTGCTCTAACTTTGGTAAGCTCTTGATGAGCATACAAAATTTCATCCAAACTTGTAGCTGCAGCTGAGTCAGGAAAGCACATGGGGCCCTCCACTCCTTTCCCAACACCTAGCCCAGGGCAGCTTCCAGTGTCAAACCATTTCACAGTCTTCTTCCCTTCCTACCACTACCATTACCTTAGAAATCTAGAAGCTCTAGGTCTCTTCCCCAAACACTCTGGCAGTGACTCGCACTTGAGAGTCCTTGAGTTTGAATGCTCAAAGATAAAAGGTCATAGAATCCATTTTTAATGGGAAACTTTGGTTGTCAGACCAGCCTTGCAGAGACCAGGATCCAGAACACACTTGGCCCTTGCTTTGACTTTCACCGTGGAGAACACAGGCCTCTGATGACCCACTAGGGAATGGGGTTATTTCCAAATCTGCTCTGTTTTCTTTTCCTCCTAATCTGAAAGAAAAGGTGACCACAAAAGAGTAGTCTGGTTATTAGTGTTTGGCTCCATCTGAGGGGTGTATTTTAATTCCTAAGTTTCTCAGGAAGTTCAACACCAGTGGGAGCTGAATCCGTAATTATCATAAATTGTGTCTAACTCCCATAGGATTAGACTGAGGAAAATCAGCTTTCAAAAGCTCTGAAGACCATGTGATTGTGCACTCTGCCAAGTACTCAGCCACCCTGGTAGGAAAAAAAAAAAAAGAGCTGACATCTGAACTAACATTCGTTAGTTATGCGGTGTTACATATAATTAACGAATAACTAAGAAATACAAATTCCATTATTTTGGAAGGAAATAAAGTGCCAGATCCTGGGTTGACTGCACTGTGGGGAAGACAAGGACTCTGCCCACACTGGTTTGGACACCTCTTCCTGCTCCTTTTCTGTTGCATAGTCTGATATCTCACTGCTTAAGAGCTTGACAGATGTTAACCCAAAGCCACATCTGGCGAGGAGGGACAAGTGGTTTTACCTGCATCCCACTAGCAGTCCAAAGTAGGATGTTGAAGTCAGAGATCAACATTATACATCCTTTATAAGGCTCTTCTCTCACAGGGTTTAGTAATCTCGCTTTTCCAAGAACCTGGATTGGAAAGGCACAGTGGTAGGTTTCTGTGGCACTTCCAAATGGAGAATGCCCTTGGCATCATCAATAGGAAATCTTTACCTTTTCTGAAGCACAGGGACCTGCTAGCTTTATCCCCTTCCTTACAAGGTCCTGCTCTGCTTTAAGTGACCCTAGTTGTCAGCATGCTGCTATCCGTGCGCCACAAATCAAAGACATCCTGGTGGAGCCCTTCTGAGTCTGAGCTCCAGCACAGCAATCCAAACAGAGAAACATTCACAAATTAGAACACCCACCACTCAGGCAGACTCTCCAATTAACAAATTTAGGTTCTTAAAAGAAACACGAGCATTTTAGAGACTTAACTGGTGTAAAATATGCTTAGCTTCATTTTAAGAGCCAAAGAAAAATTGAGACAACACATTTCTCACTAAATGATGAAATTCTGCAGCTTAGCTTTGATTTTAAATTATTCTCCCCCAGTACAACATGCAAAGCATTTTATTCTTGGGTATGAGCTCAAATCTATTTTGCAACTCCATCACATGCCTTGCTTTGGAGCATCGTTCTCCCTGTCATATGATTACTACTATGGTTCTTCGAGAAATTAACAAGAAAGAAAATGAGAAATTATTCCAGAAAGTTTATAGCATCCAAGAATATAGCAGCACAGAAAATTACTGATGCAACGGATCCTTAGAAATAGTTACTAGATACCTCAATATGCAGGCACTCTTCTTAGTAATGAAATTACAGTGATTCAAAATTCAAAGGTACCTTAGAAATTACCTGACTCTTGGGCTGGAGGGACGCTCAGCCATTAAAGGATCAGGCTAACAACCAGAAATTACCTGACCCAGTCATGGATGAGTATTTTGAAGTCTCAAAATTATTTGAAATAGGGTGCTGGAGAGAGTGCTTAGGAGTTAAAAACCAGTAATGCTCTTGCAGAGGACCTAAATTCAGTTCTCAGCACATACTAGGTAGCTCACAACCTCTTGTAACTCCAGCTCCAGGGGGAATCCAACACCTCTGGGCTCTGTTGGCCCTGTACTCACTTGCACAGGCACACACACATCATCAAAAATTAAAATGAATCTATGGGCTGAAAAGTGGCTCAGAGGTTAGAAGCACTGGATGCTCTTGTAGAAGACCCAGGTTCGGTTCCCAGCCCCAACATGGCGGCTAACAACTGCCCCAAACTCCAGTTCCAGGGGATCTGACACCCTCTTCTGACCTCCAAGGGTATTGCATGACATAGGTGCACTTACATACATGCAGGCAATACACTCATACACATAAAATAAAAATAATACCAAAAAATCTTTAAAAATTTTGAAATAGCTTATTATCTGTGTTGAAAATTAAGTATGAAGAGATGTTTTTGTCCCTCAAACTTAGGCAAGTTATTAAAGTTTGCTGAATGTATCTTAGCAATGGAAAGCTACTACTTTTATTTTTTAAATTACATTTATAAAAAAATTAATTTATTTTTGTGTATAAGTATAGGTGTGTACATGCTATGGTGAAAATGTAGAGGTCAAAGAACAACTTGCTGGAGTCCATTCTTTCTTTCAACCATGTGGATCCTGGGGATTGTACTCAGGTTGTCAGGTTTGGTGGCAAGTGCTTTTACCCACTGAATCATCTTGTCTGCCCTTACTAATAGATGGTTTCATCTATTAAATCTACCAAAACAACATATCACCCTTGTGTTACAATCTTACTGAAGACACTTTAAAAATTTTTTTTATTTATTATTTTTATTTTACGTGTAAGTGTATTGCCTGTATGTATGTAACTGCACCTGTGTGGTGCAATGCCTGTGGAGGTTAGCAGAGGGTGTCAGATCCCCTGGAACTGGAGTTATGGATGATTGTTAGCTGCCATGTGGGGGCTGGGAACAGAACCAGGAGCCTCTGCAAGAAGAGCAAGTGTTCGTAAGTGCTGAGCCATCTTTCTACCCCACTGAAAACAGCTTTGGGTTCCACATATTTACAGGAAGTGGGCTAATACTCACTAGCACTCAATAACCAAGACGGACTCCCCAGTATCTGCTCCCCCTTCTCCCAGTCCTTCCTATCCATATGCTGCTCTCCAGCCCTGCTGCTGCCTCCTCTGCTCTGACCTGTTCCTTTCTGTTTCTATCATTCCTATTCTAAGTCCTCCAAATTACATCACCCACATTTTCAGGCTCAGGTCATATCACTCTAGTTCTGAATTCCTAAACACATTTTATGGAGCCACCCACCAAATTAATTCCAAATCTAGTCCTTCAGTCTAAACAACACCCACCCCCCCAGTTTTATTTGCTATTGTTGTCTCCTCTGAGGTCCCTTTCACACTCTCCCAGACCCTTTCCTGTGGTTCCATGTTCCAGCCTTTGCTAACTCCTCTCCCTCTCTGGGAAATGCTTTCTTGCCCATTACAGCCTTGAGAATCCAACCTTCTGCATGCCATCTGATTCACTCTTGCTTTGCTCTCCATTTCTAGAGCACCTGCCTCCACTTCCCTATGGATATGAGACTACTGCTCAACAGAAAGCACACTGTCCATTCTGCAGGTAAAGAAAGAAGCAGTTTGAGGCCCAAACACCAAGTTTATTGGATGATATTGGACTATATGCACACACATAGAAAATAAACATTTCATATAATTGTGTATCTTTTCAAATGTTGTATTTATAAAGACTGAAAAACTACCAATTTAGCAATTGGAGTAACTTTAAAAAACACAAAGAAAAAGCCAAAATCTACATTCCTTCATCAAGACTTGGTAATGTATCACAATCCATAAATACTTCATTTTATATAAATAAGTTTTCTATAGTTACTAGGAATTTAAAATTGGGTTACATGGGTTCTTTGATCATGAATAATTTTCTTATTCCATGATGAGCAATTGAATATATCATTTTTAGATACATATATTTGATTTAAATACAATCCATCCCTGAAAAACCCAGTGTAAATGAGCATTTCAAATGTAACAAACAAAAATTCTACCATAAAGAATATCTTTAAATCTTAACAATGAGGGAGGAGGAAAAAAATCTTAAGTGGACATTTTTATATTTAAATACATATATTTTAAAAGACAGCATGCATCCACAAGCAGAAGGAGGAAAAACCGAAATCAAACAGCACAGAAGGGAGGAGAGGAGAGGAAAGAAAGAGAGGAAGAGAGTAGGAAGCAGGAAGGGAAAGGAAGAGGGCCAGGAAGCAGGAAAGAAAAAAGGAGAGAGGAGTGCTAGACAGCAAAAAATAATAAAGACAAGAAATTCAGTCATTCTACTTTTCTTGGGCAATATAAAGACTAAACATTAATGTAACTTGCTCCAGAAGCAAGATAAAGGTCTATCAACTCACTGTATTGTCAAAGGGACACAGCTGAACAATAAGACAAAATTAGGCTGGATCTGCAACTTGAAGTTGCTCTGTGTCTTTCAGGAGGCCCAGGAGAGTGTGCACGTCATGGAAGGTTGTTATTCCTTCATGACTACCTCTTTTAAGCAGGAAAGGAGGCAAATCCAGAAATGCCTGTTTGGAAATGGCAGCATTGATAATGAAGAGAAAAAGCAGCTCCCAGAAATTCTCAAGAGCTATGTCAAAAGAATGGACCCAGACTCAGCTTTTTGGAATCGGGAGTTCTGAGGAAACCTTTCCTTCTGTGTGTTATAGTGGGCTGCAACAAGCCAGGCACTTCCAAAGCTGCAGAGAAAGGAGATGCTTTGCATGGCAGGTATGGAGGGACATGTCCATTAAACTACTGCTGCAGAGAATGGAAAGGCCAGAAGATCCAGGAAGCATGGTGAAGAAACATGAGGACGGAGAGATGGCGAGGAAATGAGAGTTTAAAACCCATTGCCATTCAGTTCAGCAAAATGCAACACATTCACAGATACAAGGATAGGGGGTGAGGGGCTTGGTTAAAATTAACCAAAAACAAACAAACAAACAAACAAAAAAACCCACCTCCCACAGCAAAGCCAGTTTTCATTCCATCCCAACTCCTACAAAAGGCTGTTTACTATTTAATTCAAGAAACACAATGACCAGGTTTAGGATTCCAAAGTCTCAACCCACATAGACAGTAAAAGATTAGAAACCATTCCCCATGATATTTTATATAGGCATCAGTGTGGCCACCAAGGAAGGAAAGGACATTTAGGACAAGCTGGAGAGCCTCAGGCCAAACTGAAACCCTCATAGTTGTCGAGGGCCTGGGTCAGCCGAGCCCTCAGAATCTCTTTGCTGCTATACTTGGGGAGGTCAAGAAGGTTGTAGCAGGTGTGGGCCACTGGCAAGTACTCCTCCCCAGTGGCTGTGGACTGGATGACAATCTGTAGGCTGGCCATGCCATAGATGGGAATCCGGTCACTGCCTGTCAGGAACACTGTAGAGAAAGAAAATGTCATCTATAGCTATGCAGTCATCCAAGCAACACAGGAAGGCATGACACCCTGTGGCTTCCATGGGAACTACAACTGCATACTACGGGCGCACTGGAACGATGGATAGATGCCTAGACATGCTTTTGATTTTAAAAAATGGCAGCTATAAGTTTTATGAGCTTTCACAAAATCAAAGAGGAAAGAATTATTGAGGTAGGAAAAGGCCTTCCTTGAGAAGAAACTAGGAAAGAAAAACCTCAAGTCTCTGTAACCTCAAGGTCTCCTCTCACCTCAAATGTCTGAGCCAATCTGGCTGCTGGGATTTGCTTCAGGATCTATCTGCTCTTACTTCCCTGTCTCTTTTTCATAAACCAGAAGCTGACCGACACATTTGTCCTTATTTGGCTTCCACTGCTGTGATAAGATACTGAACAAAAGCAACTTGGAGAGGAGTTTATTTGGCATACAGCTCACAGTCCATCATCAAGGGAAGCCAAGACAGGACGCTGGAGGCAGGAACTCAAGGTAGAAACTATGGAGGAACACTGTTTACTGGCTTCCTCTCTTTGGTTTGATTGATTACCTTTTTTATACATCCCAGGTCCACCTGCCAAGGGATGGCACCATCCACAGTGGGTTAAGCCCTCCTATATCAGTTAATGATTAAGAAAACAACACAGGCCAGTCTGATGGAGGAAATTCATCAACTGATGTTCCTTCTTCCCAGGTGACTTGTCTGTGTCAAGTTGACAAAAACTAACCAGAACAGCATTATTTAGGTATTCTACTTTTGTGACACACACTGTTACTCAGCACAGATAATAAATTCCCATGTATACAGTAGACAGGGAAAGCTATCTTCTCCTGTTTTCTAGTACTGGAAAATTGTTTTAATAGTTAGGATTGCTTGAAATCAGCCATTTCAAACAACCTGCCATTGTCCAAGGCATATAAACATTATTTATTTATTTATTTATTTATTTATTTAGTTAGTTAGTTAGTTAGTTAGTTAGTTAGTTAGTTAGTTAGTTTCTTTGTTTGTTTAATGCATGAGTGTTTTGCCTGCATGTGTAGAAATACACCCATGTCATGCAGTGGCCTTGGAAGCCAGAGGACTGTGTTGGACACCCCAAAACTGGAGTTACAGATGTTTGTTAGCTACAATGTGGGTGCTGGGAATCAAACCTGGGTGCTCAGCAAAAGCAGTCAGTGTTCTTAATCACTGAGCCAGCTCATCTGTCCCAACATTCTTGCCAAATCTCCAAGATTAATTTTTAAAACTCACCCAAGCCCAATGATCTCTAACTAGAAATGCCTTTTTCTAAGAAACCTCTCAAACCCAGTAGAACAGGCTTCACCTGAAAGTAACAGCTCTCCACATTCAACACGTCATTCAACTCACATGACACTGATTCTCAACAGCCAATGTGTCTTGGCAAGGGAGAAGGGTGTCCTTTCACATGTGCCCATTATCTCACCCTTGCTCCAAATGGGCAGCAGAGTCTGGAGCCAAGTCTTGCATTGATACTAATATTAACATTAATGTTAGCTTATTCTTGTAAGCAAAAGAGATTGTTTTTCAAGCTGTTTTTCTGTTTCATGTGAATAAATATTCTTTATTTTAAAAATTATTTATTCATTCGCTCATTTATATTTTATGTGTATGTGTATTTCCTGCATGTGTGTAAGTGCACCCAATGTCATGCAATGCCCAAGGAGGTCAGAAGAGGGTGTTGGATCTCCTGGAATTGGAGTTATGGACAGTTGTCAGCTGCCATGTGAGTGCTGGGATTTGAACCCAGGTTCTCTGCAAGAGCAGCCAGTGCTCTTAACGGCTGAGCCATTTCTTCAGGCCCTATTCTTTTTAAAGATTTAATTACTTTTATTTTACATGTATGAGTGTTTTGTCTGCATGTTAAGTGCACCACGTACATACAATACCCATTAAGCCTAGAAGAGGATATTGGATCCCCAGAAACTGGAGTTACAGCCAGTTGTGAGCTGCCATATGGGTGTAGGAGCCAAACCTGGGTTCTCTGAAGAACAACAGAGCTGAGCCATGTAGCCTGTGAATAAAAATTCTATTCTATTCATTGGATAATTTCTGACTCTGATTATATAACTGCAAACAGGTAGATTCAATCCCTTCTAAAAGGCTGTATTTTTTCATGTAACTTTACTTTTCAAACCATATATGATATGATTCCATTTGAGAAAAGAGTCTATGACAGACCAACTTGGAGACAGACAAATGAGGGGTGGGAAGTACAATGGGTAGAAATGAAGTGATGCTGACAGCTACGGAATTTCTTTCTGAGAAGATGAACAAACTCCAAAAAATGATTTGTGATAGTTTTACAACTCTGTATATATTAAAATCCTTAGGCTTTACATGGGTAAATTGTATGTTAAATGAATCATATCACAATAAGCTTCCTATAAATCAAAACTCCCCCACTTCCATCTAGAATCTTTGTAGACTAATCTTGAGATAGGGAGGGCATGGTATCACTGCTTCCCAGACTAATCTTAAACCTCCAGGCTCAAGTGATCCTCCTACCTCAGCCTCCCAAAGTAGTCGGGATTATAGGAACAAAGCATAATAGTATCTAGCTAAAATACCCACTTATTTTAGACAAGTGAAAATTAGTAAAATGATTCTTCTTTTTACCTTCTTGTTAGGTAATATATATGAACTAACCACCTATAATACATTTTAATTAATATATTGTAAATATATTTTAATTCATTTCCCTTTACTATTTAGCCATTTAGAAGTTAATCCTTCCCTATGAAATATATAAGACTACTAATACTCACAGAGAAACTTCTTCTTCTTCTCCAATGGAAACTCATGAAATGTTTCCCAAAATATTTTCACAGTGGGATGCGAGGCTGAATAATCACCCTTATAGATAGCAGTCTGCCCCCAAAAAGATAAAAAAAGAACAATATTGTAAGGTTGGATATGATGGCTCACATTTTTAATCCTAGCACTCGAGAGGCAGAGGCAGGTGGATCTCTGTGAGTTCGAGGCTAGCCTGGTCTACATAGCAAGTTCCAGGCCAGCTAGGGCTATAGGGAGACCCTGTCTCAAAAATACCACCCCCCCCACAAAAAAAGAACAATATTGTAGCACACACTGTATACCTTTTTGCATTTAAGACAGAAGTGATGGGGGTGCGAAAGATCTTCACATCCTACTCAACCACAGTGTACCTGAAGGAGACCCAGATCCTCAGCATGCCTACGCAGACTGCAGCTGCTTTGTCAGAGTGCTAACGCAGCATCTTTAGAGCTTACCTCTTCCAGTTCTTCCCAGTTGTAGTTGCTGTTCCCCACCATCATGGCCCTCAGTTCTGATGGCTGGAAGAGCTCCAGTACTTTGCCACCACACACCTTTAGGAAGCCACTGGAGAAGGCTGTGTACCATTCATGAACTGAGATTTGGAAGACATAATTCACATAAGCATCCACAAATTCTTGCCTGCCAAGAGAGCAGAGAAATAAAATATATTATAGATTTGCTACCAATCTTATAGAATTGATGAGGCTACTTTTCTGCACTGCGGTTGAAGGTAATAAGAAACAGCCTTTTTTTTAAAATTTATTTTTTTAATTAAAAGAAGCATTTCATTACAACAGCATTAACCTATTCAATAACATTTTTCTGAGCTAGGGTATATCTCTTTCAAAATTGGCTGTACATTTCTAGGTTTACAGATGAATTATTACGCTTATATAATCTTTTACTCATTATAAACTCTATAAGACATAAAATTAAATGAGGTTCCAACATTTAAAAAAGATCTCCACTTCGTTGTCAAAACACACAATTTCATATAGAAAAATTCATTCCAAGGCTATTGACATTGAGACGTTTTCACATGCATTTCTAATCTCTATATACATGACTATCACTGGTCACAGTCACCCACCTTCTGAGCTCCTTGGCATCTGAGCATGAATACAAACTCATCAGGTAGACAGCCTTCCTCTCCCACTAGAGCCTCCATACTCTGCCACCCCTGCCACTGTCCACTGTGCGGTCAGCACCCCCATCCATTCCCCCCCATCTGCCCTTCTGGTAAATCTAGTCAACCAGAGGTCCCTGTTCCAGGAGGATCAGCTGTTCCTCATCTACGGCAATCCATTGTCAGTATTCCTTTGGATAGATTTGGGGTCTGCTGTTCATGTTTCCAGTAGTATGTTGGGTTACTGTCTGGAAAAGCCTTTATCTATCCTGGCCAACAACTCGACTGAAGGTATCGCCTGTCTGGCTTTGCTGTTTGTCAAGTAACTTTTAGTTATATATATGTATGCTCTTATGAAATTATATTGGCCCCTTTAATCTTTGGTTATACTTCCCTTTTGGGTGTTTAAGGACATACAATTGGACCAGATAAACTGATTTGTTTTTACTCTTGAGGTCATTTGAGGATCTGTTCCTCAGGGGTCCCATGGGCTTGGGAGGAGCCCCTGGCTCCTTTCTTTTACCAGTTCCACCTACGTGAAGATAAGTCAAAGGTCCTACTCGACCATTGTTGGCTTCTCTTGGAAGCATGGAGGAAATGATTCCTCTGTGTTGACCCTCCTCTTTATAGACTGGACACTGGTTCAAGTCCATCTGGTGGGGTCTCCTTGGCCTCCTTGATCAAGAGGTCAGATGACCCACCACCATTACAGGACATTTTGCAAGATGCTCATGGTCCCTGGGAACTAATCGACCTAGGAGGGCAGGGAACAAAAAGTGTCCTTTGTATCCCTCTGACCCAATTAGTATAGATCTCAAGGTATGTCTGTTAAACATCCAAGAAGGTTAGTTCCACCATTCTGGCATTTTTAATTACTGTGTGTCCTACAGATAAATCTTGGGTAATGACCAGTTGGTCTCAAATAAACCTTATCTAGAGATATATTTCTTGATCTGTTATGTATAATTTGTCAGTAGATTGTAGGAATAATATGGTTCCCTCTGGTTTTCGTGACTAGCTAGGCCTTGTTTCTCTCTTGTATCGTCTCACCCCTCTATCATGGTTTTCCCACTTAAAAGAAACAGCCTTTTATCAGGTGCTCAGTGACATGTTCTAGTCTCACAAAGACCACCTCTTCTCTATTCCCAACCCTAGGATTCTGTAAGTGCCTATGGGGATTAGGGACAGGAGAGCAAGTAGAAAACCCAAACTACTCTCTTTACCTAAGGAGCTTCAGTTGTCATCCCTCTTAAGGTTTTGCTTAGAAGTTAGTCCAAGATATCAATGCAGGCTAATTCTCTTACTTTGGAAACAAAGTCAAGTCACCTGGCATCCATATCCTTATGTATCTTTTGCTTTAGTTTTCGTGTATCTGTATGTATATGTACATGCAGATACATGTGTGTGTGGAGACCAGTGGCCAACCTCAGTGTCAGTCCTCAGATAAAATCTACATTGTTTTGAGACAGAGTCTCTCCCTAGCCTGGGACTCAAGATAAACTGGGTGACCAGTAAGCCATACAGATCCACCTGCCTCTGCCTCTCCAGGGATTACAAACATGCACCATCATGCCCAGCTTTTTTTACAAGGGCTCTGGGGATCAACTCAGTATGTCATGCTTTTGTGGCAAGCACTCTGTTGACTAAGTCACCCCCAAGTCCTATATCCTCATGTATTTTAAAACATATTAAATGGCAGGTTGTCAAAAAATATTCAAAAGAAAAATGTGTTTAGCAGGATAAAAAGATTATTATATAATTTGCATTTTAAACTAAGAAATTACTACTGAAATGCTAGGAAGAATCTCAGTTGGTAAGTGCTTGCTATGCAAGCTAGACCTTAGATGGATCCCCAGCACTCAAGTAAAAAGCAGGATGTGGTGGTGTATATTAATCCCAGCACTGGGGAGGTAGAGATAGGAGGTTCCCTGGAGCTTGCTGGCCAATCACCCTAGCCTAATCAGTAATCTCTGGATCCCTGTGAGAGACTATGTCTCAAAAACACAAGGTATACATCTCCTGGGGAATGATCACTGAGGTTGACTTCCAGCTTCCACCCTCCCCCCCTACACTTGTATACACACAAACATACAGAGAGAGAGAGAGAGAGAGAGACAGAGAGACAGAGACACAGAGAGACAGAGAGACAGAGACAGAGACAGAGAGAGAGACAGACAGGGAATGAGAGAGAAAGAGGACTGCTGGCATGCAGGAGTCTTCCCTTTCACCCCTCATCAAAGAAGCTTCTTTTTACATAAGATGGTGTATTAGTCACTTTTTTGTTGCTGTGTTAGAAACATCATAACCAAGGGAACTTATAAAAGGAAAAGTTTATTTAGTTTATAGTTCCAAAGGGCAAGAGTCTATCATGGTGGGGAGGCATGGCAGCAGAGGTGGTTGGAGTAGGAGCAGAAGCTAAGCTCTACACCTTCAAGCAGGCACAGGAAGCAGAGAGCAACTGGAGATCTGGCAACACTCAACAACTCTCTAAGCCCACCCCCAGTGACATGCTTTCTCCTCTAAGACCTCCCAAAAGAGCATCACCAATTTGGGACAAAATGTTCAAATACTTGGAGCTTACAGGGGACATTCTCATTCAAACCATCACATTCCACTCCCTGGTCCCCATAGGCTCATAACCATATGAAATTCAAAGTGCATTTAGTCCAACTCTAAAAGTCCCCATAGTCTTTATCAGTCTCAATACTATTCAAAAATCCATTCTGAGACTCAGGGCACTCTCAAAACTGTAAGCCCCTGTAAAATCAAAAGACAAATTACATACTCTCAACATACAGTAGAACCAAATACATGCTCCCATTCCAAAAGGAAGGAATAGAGGCACAGTGAGGAAATACTGGACCAAAACAAGACCGAAAACCAGAAGAGCAAACACCAAATCCAGGTGCTCCACATCCAACTTCTGGGTCTTTACTTTCAAAGGGCTTACGTGGCTCAGTCTCTCCAGCTTTGCTGAGTGCAACATACATCTCTTTTAGGCTAGTACCACTCCCTGTATGCAGCTCTCCTTGGCAGATGTCTCACAGCTTTGGCATCTCGAACATCTTCTTGGGGGGGGTCTCCACTGCCAACCAGGCTTCACCTTCACAGCTTCACACAATGGTCTATTAGGGCTTCTTGGCCTATCAGGGCCTTCTTTATGCAGGGAAACCCTTGTTGCTTGCTGCTTGGCCTTGGCAGCTCTCTGAAACCATGGAGGAAGAACTAATGACCCCTTCACTCTTGCATCTTTCATGCCTCTATAGCTAGCAGCAGGTGAACCACATTGCCAAGTTTGGCTGCAAGTGTGGGATGGACCCTGGCCTGCTTCATCCTCTTTTGAAGCTTTACTCTTCAGTGGTTTTCTAGTAGAAAACCCCTGCAGTATTTTCCTTTAACAAATTGGAGGTTTAGCTGGGTGTGGTCTTGCTGTGGAGGCACTCTCTCCACCCGTTAAGTGAAAATACCTAGGCTCCTTAATCACTTTAATTTCCTTATCAAAGGAATTCTCTCCAGCACATGCCTTGACTCCAACATCAATTTTCCTAGTGCTCTTTTTCAATCCAAACTGTACATTTTGCATTTCTTTCTATCCCATTTGCTCCTTTTCATTGTAGATCTGCATAATATTCATCATTAATAGCCACTGAGGCTGCCTAGAAACATCCTTGGCCAAAATAATTAGTCCATTGCTTTTCAACATAGCTTCAGGCAAGCTTTTTGGAAGAGGGCAGACTCCAGCCAGACTCTTTTGCCAAAATATCCCAATTGTTGCTTAAGTCTGTATGTCCCTCTGTAACTACATTGTTCCAGGGGCCTACTAGAATGGCCTGTTAAGCTGTTTACAGAAATCAATGCTTTTATAGTCCAAACTTCCAAAATCTTCCACATTCTTCCAAAAAAACCACATGGTCATGTTCTTCACAGCCAACACCCCACTCTTGGTACCAATTACCACATTAGTCACTTTTCTGTTGCTGTGATAGAAAAGTCATGACCAAGGGAACTTATAAAAGGAAGAATTTATTTAGTTTACAGTGCCAAAGAGGCAAGAGTCCATCATGGCAGGGAGGCATGGAGACAGAGGTGGATGGAGTAGGAGCAGAAAACAAGCTCTCACATCTTCAAGCAGGCACCAGAAGCAGAGAACAATTGGAAATCTGGAAAGGCTTAACAATTCTCTAAGCCTGCCCCCAGGGATGGGCTTCTCCTCTAAGACCTCCCAAAAACAGCTCCATCAACTGTGTACAAATGCTCAAATACTTGGAGCCTATGGGAGACATTCTCATTCAAATCACCACAGATGGAGACTACTACAAAGTTTCAGAACTGGTCAAATGCAGAGAATAAGTGTCTGTGAGACACTTAACCATAAGTGACACATACTTCTTTAATGGTCTCAAACAACTGCTCTATCTCCCTAGTAAAGTAAATGCAAATGAAGGCAGCAGTGAATTTTCATTTTGCACCCATCCAACTGGTGTTAAGTTTAAAAATCAGATAATGTTACAGGGAAACTGCAACTTTACACAGAGCCAAGGCCAAGGTAAACTATATTACTAGTCTAAAAGCAAAATGGTATAGGCACTTTGGAAACAGTGTGGCAGCTATTTATGAAGCTAAACATTCCAAAGATTCATCAATTTCACCGCTAGGTATTTACATAAGAGAAATAATGTGTTAATATGGAAACCTGAAGATACACTTTCAATGTGGTATTATTTTTTTTAATAAGTACAACACAATCAGGACTATGTCTCAATAATAAAAAGGAATAAGTTAGTAATATACATGACAACACAGATGAATCTCAAACGCATTATGCTATATATATTAAAAAAAAAAGACTCCAAACTACCTGTGATACCATTCATGAGTTTTAAAATGTAGAATTACTGAGACAGACCAGTGCTTTACCTATACTTAGGGAAGAGCAAGAGGGGCTTTCAGGAGTGATGCTACTAATCCCCTGATTACCGTGGTGCTTACATGAATGCCTTTGTCTGTGAAACATAACCCCCTGAAATGGTCAATTTTGCTAATACAAATTATATCTCAATAAAAAGGCCTTTAAAATAGCCTAGCTTAAGTTTTAAGCTCTTTTAAGTGATCATAAAACCCTTACAAGAGGGCTAGCCAGATGGCTCAGTGAGTAATGGCACTTGCTGCTAAGCCTGATGGCCTGGAGTTTGATTCCCAGAATCTACACAGTGGAAAGAGAAAACCCAACTCCTGACAATTTTCCTCCAATCACACACTCACTGTGGCATGTATCCCTGCCCAATATATAAATAGGTAAAAGAGAATCTTTCAAGATGAGCACATCTTTGTTGTCTTGTGAAAATTAAATTAGCCAAATGGTTTTAAAGATTGGGGGAGGGTAATTTTTAAGGTAACTTCATATTATCGAAATCAGAAGACTTAGTTAGCTCTGTCCCTGATCCTTTCCATTAAGTGATTCATGCAGTAACAGAATACTTCACTCTACGTATGCTACTGTGAAAGAGAACTACCATGTCTGCTTTCAAGGTGGCTGAAGAAATAAGAAACATATAGACAAGAAGGAAAGCATAGAGTCAGCCACACAAATATTGTTGCATCAAATTCAGTCATAAGTCAGGCATGGTGACACACACCTGTAATCTTGGCACTTAGAAGTCTGAGATAACAGGGTAGCTATGAGTTCAAGGACAGCTTGGTCTGTGTAAGGAATTCCAAGGAAAACCAGGCCATATAATTGGGCTATCTCTAAATTAAAAACAACAAGCAGCCTGCCATGACTAATACTGAAATTTCAGCCTTATAACCATCTTATTACTATAAATGTAACATGAAGAAGGAAAGTGAGTTCTCTGGGACAGCACTGAAAAAGTAAAAGAAAGGAGTGCATGCTAAGCATCTGTGAAGCCCTGGGTTCAACCCCAGCACCAAAAAGAAAAATGTAAAAAAAGGAAACAGGGCCAGAGATATGGCTCAGCAGGTGAAGGCTCTTATGACCAAGCCTGAGACCGATCCCTGGACCCCACACGGTGGAAAGAGAGAACCAACTCCTGCAAGTAATCCTCTGATGCCTACACACTCACACACTATCGGATGTGTGAGTACCCCCATAAATACATAAATGTAATTTGTAATTTTTTAAAAAGCAAAAAGAGGGGACTGGAGAAATTGCTCAGCAGTTAAGAGTACTGGTTGCACTTGCAGAGGACCTGGGTTGAAGTTCCAGCACCCACAGGGTGGCTAACAACTGTCCGTAACTCCAGTTCCAAAGGAATCCAAGATCCTCTTCTGACCTCCTTGGGAATTGCACGACACAGGTGCACATGCAGGCAATACACTTATATACATAAAATAAAATAATAAATACAATTTTTTTAAAAAGTAAAAAGAATAAACAAACTAAAGGACTCATACATACATTTAAAATGCATTTTGTAAATATTTGCTTTCTTTGATGAGAGGTGCAAAGATGTTTGTTTCTAAGACCATAAATAACTACTTTGCATATTAGTAAATGCAGTAATATAAAAATTATCCAGTGCTTACTATGTGTCAGCATTAAATGATTTACATAACTAATTTAATAGCCATAAGAACCAAAAGATCAAAATCCCTTTCAAAATCCCTTTTGTATGCATAAAACTCTTGCAAGCCCAACACAGCAAAAGAAAAATACTTAAGCCAGCAATGAATGCATTTCTGAGGAAGCCTTGGAAGGATCATTTGCCTGAAATATTTAAGAATTCTGCCCCATCCTTTAAGAAGCTCTACTCAGTTTTTGGGAGGAGACAGCACGGTCAGGAGTTCAAGGTCATCATGATCAGGACTTTGAGGCTAGGGTGAGCTAAGTAAATGAATAAAATAAAGCTCTAATTCTCGTTTATTTAGATAAGAAATTAAAAGTATCCAATCACTTTGTTATTAGAGAACAAGAGTTTGGTATGCATGGTCCTTTTCAATGCTCGTAGATAAAAATCACAAGCAGACCAGAACTAAAGTGCAGAGGCTTACTGGTGGTGTGCCTAGGGGACAGACACGTGTGTCTGTGTGTCCCTTTGGAAGAGCAAGAATAACACAAGCTTCAGAGGAGAGATTTGAAGGGCCCCTTCTTCCCCTGCCCATGGGCATGTTCAACCTGCCACCCACAGGCTGCATGCCTCCTAAGATAAATGAATTCAGCCCTACACATTTGCAGATGACAATAGGTTGCAATGTCAAAAGGTTGGAAACACCTCTGCATTTTGGTCTACCCCTAGCTTTTTTCACATTAGGCACTTGTGTGGAATCTTTCTAGACACATTACCAGGATATTCAAAGCCCTGAGATTTCCTACACAAACACTTATACAGCTACTAAAAGTCCCTGCGTGTAACAAGCTTCCACGAAGATATGGCATGAGGTTTAATGGAGATGGCTGGCTGGACGCCGTAAGAGCCCAAGATGGCCTGTCCAGACGTCCGCATTGCAGATCTGCCAAGGCGTGACCGGAAGCTGGCTCTTCCGCACTTCTGCTCCCGGGAAGTGAAGGGAATTTAAGACGCAATCAAAAGAGACTCAGAGTAAATAAGGCAGACAAAGGTTAACAGGTGCATTGCAGATGCACAGAGAGCCAAGACAGGAGGGAGAAGCACACAGTGAATGAGTATGGCTGAGGCCATACAAACAGGTCTTGAAAAACTGCCTCAGTCTCGCACAGGTTCCAGCCAGCTCTGCAGGGGTGGGGGCGGGTGGTGAGGGAGATGGGGGCTGGGTGTCTAAGTGGAAGGTTTTGAAGACCTGGGGGATGGAAGCATAGCAACAAGAGGAATCTGGTGCAGTATGAGCGCAGAGACCTCAGCTGATAGCCGGCAGCCAGTCATTTGCCGCGAGCCGCGAAGCGGCTGCGCAGACGTCACCGCGGCCGTCATCGCTTGCCGCATCCGCAGACTCGCTCTGGACCAGCCACAACCGCAGTGGCAGCCACAGCCGCAGGACCTCTCTGAACCAGCTGAGCGCAACCTGCGCAGCATCTCGACCTCTGCAGCAGCCAAGCCCAGCCAAGAGCAAGCCATGGCCGACCCCGAGAAGCAGAACCCCGCTGAAGCCCGCACCGAAGACGAGGTAATGGAGGGCGCGCAGGGCGGTGAGGATGCTGCAGTCTGCGACACTGCCGCCGCCACCGCCACCACTGCCACCGCCGCCACCGCCGCCGCTGCCGCTGCCGCACCCGCGGCCGAGGAGCCCCAGGCCCCCGCGGAGAACGCAAACGCGCCCAAGCCCAAAAATGACTTTATCGAGAGCCTGCCCAATTCCGTGAAGTGCCGGGTCCTGGCGCTCAAAAAGCTGCAGAAGCGATGCGATAAGATAGAGGCCAAATTTGACAAGGAATTTCAGGCTCTGGAGAAGAAGTACAATGACATCTACAAGCCCCTGCTTGCCAAGATCCAGGAGCTCACCGGAGAGATGGAGGGCTGCGCGTGGACCCTGGAGGGTGAAGATGAGGAAGAGTACGAGGAAGAGGAAGACGAAGGTGAGGAGGAGGAGGAAGAGGAGGCTGCGGCAGGAGCCACCGGGGGCCCCGACTCTGCCAAGAAGTGAACGGAGCAGCTGACCGCAGAAGGTGACAGAACACCCCCTCCCCCTTTTATTTCCAATATTGGTAGACTTTAAAAGGCTCAGGTTTTTGACCAAAATACAATGTGACTCTGACATTCCTAAAATTAATTAAATTTAAGTAGATTCTGGCTAGCCCATTTCTAATATGACTTTTATTTGAATACAACACAGATGCCAAATGCTGTAAAAGAAAGACCAATTAACCTTATTTTTTTTTCTCCCTGATCTCTTCTGTGGGGACTGGACTTGAGGCTGATGAAGGGTGTCAGATAGATGTGAAGGAAAGTGCGTCACATTGGAACTCATTCATCACACTACACCTGAACATCCAAGCTATGACTGAACTCTTTCTCAATGCTTAATTCTTCAATTTTTTTTACTCCTGACATTTCTGAATGCAGAGAAAATGAACCCAAGAAGGACTTCATCTTTAAGACTTTTGCTTTTGCAACCCAGACATCAGCTTTACCCACCAGTGGAGAGGTGGCCTGGAGGAAGCCTGGACTGAGAGTGTGACACCACTGTTAATGAGGCTAGGGAAACTGCCATTTCAAGTTATGAAAAAATGTTCTGGATATTTGAATTTAGAGAAACATGGTTCCAAAAGGAGGGTGGTATTACGTGTACAATATTGACAACGTTTGTGTTCATTTGTTACAGTCTCATGTTATGTGTTTTCTTGGTAGTGTTTGTTTACAAAATATCCCAAATGTGTAAGTATTCAATCAGTTTACCTAACAATTTAGAACTATTAATTTACTTGAAGAGG